CATCATACACCACTCATCATACACCACTCATCATACACCACTTATCACACACCACTCATCATACACCACTTATCATACACCACTCGTCATACACCACTCATCACACACCACTCATCATGCACTACTCGTCATCGAGTTAGCTCTAGTTTAGCTCTAGTTTCAATAACTCTAGCTCCAGTTAGCTCTAGTTTCAAGAGCAGGCGCAATACAAAATGCGTTTTCGAGAGATAGCGGACGCACAAAATGCTGTGTTTTTCAATACGAAAGGTGACTCCGAACCTGGCAAGTCAAGCTTTGCAGAACGACGTGTGCGAGACAGTCTCGGGTCATGGTCGGAATCGTCCCTCCATTGTGGTTAGAGTTTTCAATTGTGTCTTGAAGTGCAGATTTCGTGGCAGGCACAGCACTTTGTGAACCTCCATGCGCAGATTTCGTGGCAGGCGCAGCGCTTTGTGAACCTCCATGTGCAGACTTCGTGGCAGGCACAGCACTTTGTGAACCTCCATGTGCAGATTTCGTGGCAGGCGCATTTTCGAGAGATAGCGGACGCACGAGATGCTGTTTTTCAATACCAAAGGTGCATGGCTCCGAACCTGGCAAGCCAAGGTTTGCGGAACGACGTGCGCGAGACGGTCTCGGGTCATGGTCGGAATCGTCCCTCCATTGCGGTTAGAGTTTTCGCTTGTTTCTTGAAGTGCAGATTTCGTGGCAGGCACAGCACTTTGTGAACCTCCATGCGCAGGCACTGCAGCACTTTGTGAACCTCGAGGCGCAGATTTCGTGGCAGGCACAGCACTTTGTGAACCTCCACGTGCAGATTTCGTGGCAGGCGCATTTTCGAGAGATAGCGGACGCACAAAATGCTGCGTTTTTCAATACAAAGGGTGGCTCCGAACCTGGCAAGTCAAGCTCTCTGGAACGACGTGTGCGAGATGGTCTCGGGTCATGGTCGGAATCGTCCCTCCATTAGTGGTTTTTGTGAACCTCCATGTGCAGATTTCGTGGCAGGCACAGCATGTGTGGAGCTGGAAGCTGAGAACTGGCGACTTTGTAGGACAACTCTAGTGCGCGGAGTATCTGGGGAGCTGGAAGATGAGAACTGGTGACTTTGTAGTACAACTTTCAGTACTGTATCTGGGGAGCTGGAAGATGAGAACTGGCGACTTTGTAGTACTACCTTAGTACGCGGAGCAATCTGTGGAGCTGGAAGCTGAGAACTGGTGACATGGTGGTACAACTTTAGTGCGCGGAGTATCTGGAAAGCTGGAAGATGAGAACTGGCGACTTTGTAGTGCAACTTTAGTACGCGGAGTGTCTGCGGAGCTGAGTCGTGTGTCAATTAAATCGTTTTGTATGGCTGCACCGTACATATTTGGAGGAGGTTTCGCACGAAATGCATTTCAGAGATAGATTCAGAAGAAGGGCAGGACTGGGAGCGGGTGACTTGGTCGGTCGGGTGGTAGGTATGTGTAGAATATGGACATGTGGGTCAGTAGGTAGATAGGTACTGTGGTCCGTAGTGTTAAATGTAATAGCAATAGCAGTGGCATTTTCCATGGCGTAATTACGATTTGGGATTTGCGGTCGGTCAGTTGCGTGGACTTGCCATACTGGCCATACCGCTGCCGTTTTGTACCTGGTTCATGTTCCGGAGTTTTTGTAGAACATTTTACTATGTCACACAACATTCATCATCATATGTTTTATTATACCACACAGCATTCATTTACGGTTCTGTTCGGTGAGAGAACATCGGACATGTCACGACTTCAGGCATTTTGTGTTCGAGAAAAGGCGCGCATGCCTTTAGTTCACGAGGGTTATGAGCCCAACCTTCGAACGCCATGGTTGAGAGAGCACACTCTCTCCCCCCTTTGAACCCCTGGTGGTCGGACACGGCCAAGGGGGAGGCTCTCCTTCGACATAGGAGGCCGGAGGACCTTCCAGTCCCGCACGATGGCGACGAGGACTTCGACCTGGAGGTGCAAGGACATCGCACCGGTGGCTGTGGGAAAGGGCGCGGTGTGGCGACCCTGAGTGGGGACAGCGGCAAGTTGTTCA